TTTCAGTTTATTTGTCAATCCATTCCGTTTCCTTTACACTGTATATATAATATATTTTATATGAGTTATTCCATAACATTTAGTTTTTATATGTTTACCACTGTTCAATACTGTGCTAGCTAACCATATGCTGATTAGCATCTTTGAGCTACGTTCAAAAGTATCTAAAATTGTCGCTACCGAAACATTTGGTGGAGAAATTGTCACGACCGAAACATGTCATCATTGTTTCGGTAGTGACTAAATGGAACACATAATCCTCATATTTGGGGGAAATAAACACAATTTTAGTACAGTTATGCATTTTTTTTTGTATTTTAGTATGTTTTAGTAGTGTTTTAGTATGTGAGTTAAAATTCTGTAATGTGATGTGGTAGCTACCAAAGCATTACTGTCACTACCGAAAATGTGCAGTCACTACCGAAACATGGGATGTTTTGTCAAAAATAAAAAGATGTTATAATAGTTTTTGGTTCAATGTATATTCAAACTAATGATTCCTTAACTTTGAAATCAGTATGATCAACTTTTTGCCTTTTACAAAGAAAAATTGGATTCAAAATACAACAAATCTCATAAATTACACTTGAAATATTGTTAAAAATGTAATTGTTATTGATTTACCTCTGAAAAAAAATTAAATAGCAAAAAAATATATTTAAAATGTAGATGTAAGCAAAATCTTAATAGGTCAATATAACCGTTCTAAAAAAAAAAGAATTTTGAAACTGACTTCATCCAGTGTTCAGATTTTTGTACTAGAAATGTATGCAAACTAGTGCATATTTAATTAAATAATGCTTCATTTGCACATTTAAACATAACATTTTAGAAAACTTGTAATACAAATTTGGGTAGAGGACAAATATTCCAAAACTTTCTGAAAATACAATATGAGAATTACCTGTGCAATTACTAGAAATGTGTAACTTGGATATTATACAATTTGCATACATACAAAGAAAACTTGTAATACAATTTTTTTTTTGCAATTATCAATGTAATCAATCAACTGGGTAAGTAAGGTGATAATCAGTAGTTAATTGTTTTTACCCTATTCACCTGCAGTGTCTCGCCGTTGGCTCTATTTACACCTTGTATAAAGATCCATCTCAGGTGATCGGATCACAAATAATTATTATTTTGCTGTTTATATCTGGACAAGCGTCTCAAATGTGTCTCCTGTGACAACTGGTGTTCAGTTTCAGTGGGATGGTCTCTGATTTCATGAATACAGACATCACTCACAATGTTGTTGTGAGTGTTATTGCATGTTGACAAAGCGCAAAAAGCGCTGTCTATGAGGCATCAGGACAGATTAGCGTTTGGTCCTCAAGCAACATGAGTAGATGATGACATCACTTTTCATTTTATTTCTTTCACACACTGTACTCCGTAAGTACCCTTAAATGCATTGGCAGTGTCATGACCCTTTGCAGTATATTTCGACTCTTAACAGGAATTGAGCTGTGTACTGCGTTTCTGCTATCTCTGCTCGGCCTGGCTTCCATCAGCTCTCTTCCAAATGAAGAGCTCCAACAAGGTCCCCTCTAATTGAGCAGTAACACACGCTCATCTGCATACATTAATATCCAGCTTTAATTGAAACGGTTTCACAAAGGCGTCCAGATTGAAAAATTTATTTACTAACAGTCAGGGTGTGATGAAAGTGTTTATGCATGTGTATGAGTGTGTGCATTTATTTGCGTATGCTCTCAAATTGAATATGAAGTGAAAGATGATTTTATGAGGAGTAATTATGCAAGTGGGGCAGACAGGGGTGTAAGACTGTGCGACTGATTATTAAAAACATATCAACAAGACTAACCTCCATTAACCTCTAAAACACATGCACACACACACACACACACACACACTACACTTGAAATATTGTTAAAAATGTAATTGTTATTGATTTACCTCTGAAAAAAAATTAAATAGCAAAAAAATATATTTAAAATGTAGATGTAAGCAAAATCTTAATAGGTCAATATAACCGTTCTAATTAAATTATTATTACTGTGTTTCGGTAGTGAAAAATTTGGGTAGAGGACAAATATTCCAAAACTTTCTGAAAATACAATATGAGAATTACCTGTGCAATTACTAGAAATGTGTAACTTGGATATTATACAATTTGCATACATACAATTTTTTTTTGGAAAAAGACACATTTTTTTCCAAGACATTTCCAACACTGACTTTGGACCAATTCTGTAGAATGGCCCATATTCATTCATTTGATCAAAATACAGTAAAAACAGTAATACTTTTAAATATTATTACAATTTTAAATAACTTTTTATTTGAATATATTTTAAAATGTAATTTATTTATGTGGTAAAGCTGAATTTGCAGCATCATTACTCCAGTCTTTAGTGTCACATAATGCTTCAGAAATCATTCTAATATGCTGATTTGGTGCTTAAGAAACTTAAATATTTGAAAATATTTAGTTGCAATTTCCAAATTCATCTGGTGAAAACATTTAACTTTTGCAGCATTAACCAATTTAATGTGCCCTAGTTGAATAAAATTTATTTACTAACAGTCAGGGTGTGATGAAAGTGTTTATGCATGTGTATGAGTGTGTGCATTTATTTGCGTATGCTCTCAAATTGAATATGAAGTGAAAGATGATTTTATGAGGAGTAATTATGCAAGTGGGGCAGACAGGGGTGTAAGACTGTGCGACTGATTATTAAAAACATATCAACAAGACTAACCTCCATTAACCTCTAAAACACATGCACACACACACACACACACACACACACAGAGAGACGGACACACACACTCAGACAGTAGACAATTAAAGCAGTGCATATCAACCAAATTACGTATATTTCGACTCTTAACAGGAATTGAGCTGTGTACTGCGTTTCTGCTATCTCTGCTCGGCCTGGCTTCCATCAGCTCTCTTCCAAATGAAGAGCTCCAACAAGGTCCCCTCTAATTGAGCAGTAACACACGCTCATCTGCATACATTAATATCCAGCTTTAATTGAAACGGTTTCACAAAGGCGTCCAGATTGAAAAATTTATTTACTAACAGTCAGGGTGTGATGAAAGTGTTTATGCATGTGTATGAGTGTGTGCATTTATTTGCGTATGCTCTCAAATTGAATATGAAGTGAAAGATGATTTTATGAGGAGTAATTATGCAAGTGGGGCAGACAGGGGTGTAAGACTGTGCGACTGATTATTAAAAACATATCAACAAGACTAACCTCCATTAACCTCTAAAACACATGCACACACACACACACACACACAGAGAGACGGACACACACACTCAGACAGTAGACAATTAAAGCAGTGCATATCAACCAAATTACTTTTGACAAAAACAAACTGTATGAAAAGAGTTTAACATAAATGAGTTTTATAAGTTTTAGGTGTCTTGGGAGGCCCGGTTTTGAATCTCACCACTGTCTGGAGTGGTTCGGGACTTTATCGCTATCAGAACACTAATTTAAGTGGTTGAAGTCTGGCTGGTGGAAGAGCAGCTGTTTCA